GCGGTCGCGAACGAGGGACAGGCGCCTGCGCATACATCCGAGTTCAAGGCCGGCACAAATGCATGGGCATGGAAGTAGGAAGAGAGTGCGTATTGGAGTGTTCTTGACACGAAAGTAATCCCCCAAGGCACTGACCTGTCCATCTGCTTGACGCGCCGCTTCTTCATCTTGCGCACGACAGCCACAATGTGGCTCATCATGCCCAGGTCCGCCTGGTGCATGATGTCAGGCATGATAACGAGGTAGGGATTGCCCCACACGGTCCCTGGGACATCCCATTTCCAGAGCACACACTGGCGGAGGGGGTGTGGTGGGGAATGGTAGAGAAAGGTATATGAGAGACTCGGCCAACATGTGGGGCAGTGCAATGGCAGTGCACATCTCCCCCAGGGCTTCTCAACACGGAGTGCTTAGACAGGAAAGTAGCGCGGTGGACAGGTCGCTCACCTCAACCGGGTAGGTCGAGTAGGTCTTGCATGGGTCGGCCTGGCTTGATGTCAATCCAGCCGCCTCATTCACGATCCATTGCTGCTGTTCACGCGTGCGCGGCGTGTTCCGTGCCTTGACAGCAACTAAATGCTCCTGGTGTAGCACGGGGGGTGGGATGGGATGAACTGGTAAGGGTGAAAAAATTAGGAGGTCCGTCATGTGACAGTCAGATGACGATGGCGATGAAGGCGTTCACATGGCATGTTTGCTCACCTTTGCAGCATAGCAGATGCTGCACGGCATCCGCGATCCATGCGAGAGTGTGCAACTAATCTTGCCGCTCTCGGGGTAGTCGCACACCCAGGCGTACAGCAGTGGCCGCACTGTTTGCCAATCACCGAAAGGGTCCCTGAGACGGAAGCCGCTGCAAGGAACGGGTAGAGTGGTAACGTCAACAGCCATGACGACTCTGTGCATTAGCGAGGAGGGGCAAAGGGTAATGCAACATACAAAAGCGCTGCGCACACTATGCTGTGCACACGGTGACGACATAGCTTGACGGAAATCGAGTACGGACCTGTCCATGCCATCCAGAAGCGGTTGCAGCACGGTGAGGACGCATCGCTGGAAGAGCATCACCTTTTCAACAGCAGACATTGCCGAAGGGGGGATAGGAAGGAGAGCAAGTAGCGTGTGCCCGGCTTTCCCCCATCGCTTGGCCTGAGAGATGTTGGCAAGCGTCATTATGAGCGGCCACGCCTTCTTCCGGCCGTTGTTGCTCATGTGCGTCACATCCGAATATAGGATGATACCCCCCACGACTTCGGACCATTCGAAGTGTTCCTGCATGTACGACAAAGACGGAAAACCCCCACGGTCAAACACCACCAAGGTAATGTGTCGCCTGGCGGAGTAAGCATGGTACATAACACTCCCCACTAACATGACGCACTGAAGATGCTCCCTACACATCAGCGCGTCAACGGAGAACGGCGCACGCGTGTGGTTTTGGGTGGCAGCGGGGTATTTACATACCTGAGCATCGTTCCACCACGTTCCAGTTTCTGGCGTGGTATAGCGACGCTCGCCTGTGCCATGGTCCTCATCGACACGAGCCTTGGGCTTGAAGCCGGGCGCGTTGTTGGTGTGCCCAAACAGTTCAGCAAAAGCCTGGAGTACAGCATCAAGAGCGGGGGAGAACCAAACAGGGGTTTAGTGGCGGGAGCGGGGAAGGGTCGGATCGCACACATGGACCAAATGGAGGCGGAATCTGCATTTCGCAGCCACGCATCCACGGCCGGCTTACGTGCGCAGAGTTCTGGAAGAGGAGGAGTTGTGGAGGATGACCCTCAATCTCGAAGGTCGCCACTGACCATCCGCGATTGAGCCCTACCAAGCGCTCCATCTCGAACCTCTCCAGATCCTTGCAGTTCCGGATCTCTGAGATCACAAGAGGCGCAAGGCCGGGCTCCACCACGAGCTGAAGCAGGCCATTGATGTCGATCTCCGCCATGCCCATTCCGCCATTTACACGCGTCACGAAGTGCAGCAGCTTCAACGCAATCGGATTGAGGGGCGTCGCATTGCTCTCCCCGGAGATGATTGTCGGCGGGGCCGCGTGACTCACTCCAGGGCGGCACCCCGGATCCGCACTCGTGTCATCTGAAGGTGTTCCGGGTGGCGGTTGATGCTCAGATTCAGAAGCCCCCACGTTCCCAGCCGAGGGTGTTGCGTCATCTTCAGCTTCATGCACGCGAGGAGGACCATTCACAGCGTCGGTGTTGGACGCATTAGACGCGGTAGGTGAAGCGGGAGCAGCGGGAGCGTCCGACAGAATCTCTTGCACGAATAGCAGTGTGTGTAGTCCGGCGGATGGTGCAGATTGCGAGGGCCTTGCCAGGGCGGAAAGGCCTTGGCAAGGGGTCCGCCGTGACTTGTGACCGCCATAAACTTGGGCGTTGGGGAACCATCTATTGCAAAACTCGCAGACGACGCCAGGTAAGGAGCCCATGCGGTACGGATCTGTCTAAGTGTTGAGGAATGGCCTGTGAAGCAACGAGCGTCGTGGGAAGCTTGAGAAGGCATTAAGTACTCCGTGCAAGAAGGCTGGTAATGCAACACGGTCATCGCCAAACCGCGCACTGTTCAAGGCGGCTTGTATCACTGCACGACTGGCACTTGAGCGGGCAGCTTATGTTTGGACGTGCCTAACGATGTGCGCGCCGCGCGGTCGTGACAAGGCACATGGAGCAGCGGAGAATGCGCTTGATTCTAAGACGGTAGGTCTTGTGTGTGCGTTGCGAGCTCGGTGAGAAGGACGTGCCTGTGGATTCACGCACTCTTGGTGCGTGAGAGTCGAGTGGGATGAGGAAGAGCGGGAAGAGATCCGTTTGGATCTGTAGTTCAGTTGCGAATTGTTATACGGGGGAGATCGCGCTCACGTTAGTGAGCTCACAGTGGTGAGCTCGACAACAGACAAAATACAGCGCAGGATATTACATTGTACATTTGCATTTAATCTATACACTAAACTCGTTGATGATAACTACTACACGGTCACATGAAAATGCCTGCTCGAGATCCACCCCTAGTTGACAACGTGACATTCTAAAAACCATACAAGATCTCTAGTGTGGTCTGGCAACATACGGGAAGTACACAAGAACTTCATGCCCTCACGATAACGCATCGCCGATTGTGCGTTGTGGCTCTACTTCATACCCCTTTGAGGCACCTACTTGAATGTCCGTGCAAGGTTAGATGACAATCCAACACCGTACCACAACGGATTCGCCTGGTCGCGCAAGCCTTGTATGGATGCGAACGCAGCACCGTCGCCAAACTAAACAGCGATGTCGATTGTGCATCAACGCTCGTGCGTTGGGCGTGTGCTTCATCCCACACCCTCAATGCACTTGGCGGAGGGCCCATGCAGGAATGGAGCCCCATCCAACACCATTCCACAACGGATTCGCCTGGTCGCGCAAGCCTTGTATGGATGCGAACGCAGCAACGTCGCCAAACTAAACAGCGATGTCGATTGCGCATCAACGCTCGTGCGTTGGGCCTGTGCTTCATCCCACACTCTCAATGCACCTGGCGGAGGGGCCATGCAAGAATGGAGCCCCATCCAACACCATTCCACAACGGATTCGCCTGGTCGCGCAAGCATTGTATGGATGCGAACGCAGCAACGTCGCCAAACTAAACAGCGATGTCGATTGCGCATCAACGCTCGTGCGTTGGGCCTGTGCTTCATCCCACACCCTCAATGCACCTTGCGGAGGGCCCATGCAAGAATGGAGCCCCATTCAACACCATTCCACAACGGATTCGCCTGGTCGCGCAAGCATTGTATGGATGCGAACGCAGCAACGTCGCCAAACTAAACAGCGATGTCGATTGCGCATCAACGCTTGTGCGTTGGGCCTGTGCTTCATCCCACACCCTCAATGCCCCTGGCGGAGGGCCCATGCAAGAATGGAGCCCCATCCAACACCATTCCACAACGGATTCGCCTGGTCGCGCAAGCATTGTATGGATGCAAACGCAGCAACGTCGCCAGACTAAACAGCGATGTCGATTGTGCATCAACGCTCGTGCGTTGGGCCTGTGCTTCATCCCACACCCTCAATTCACCATGTCGAGGGCCCACGCAAGAATGGAGCCCAAGCCAACACCACACTACATCTCCATTCCAGTTGGCACTAGTACACGTCGTGCTTGAACAACTTCCAACGACCAGTATCCGTCGCCCATTCTCAATGTGTGCTCAGTATAGCATTCCATAGTCCACGAGTTAGAAGCACAAAGAGTGCGTCCTAAGCCCCATGCACTCACTAAACTTCACACCATATGACACCATAAACGGCTATTCACTTCAAATTGTCTTAGTTGTACTTTGCAAGTGTATTCAGCTACTATGTTAAAATTTGATCATTGCACTAGGCACTGTATTTTGCAGGATGTGATGATTGGTGGTGTCGAAACGGTACTAGATTTCGTGGAGATTGATGCGTTGGCGCTGATTGGCCGACGCATCTCAAACGACCCTCCCCACTACCGCACCAGCCAAGCTGGACATTCGCCGCGAAGCAGCGACTGTGATCAAGCGTGTAGTGCGTTTCTGATCGGGAGGCAAATCGTAGACCGTCTGATGGTGCGTGTTCTGCTTACAGTCCTCACGATAGACTCGCAAACCACCCCAACTACCGTCGTGCCCCACTCACCAGCTTCCGTCACCCTCATACCCACTACCTTGACGCCGCTCGCTGCTGAACACAGGAGTTTCCAAATCGCCAGTTAGACGGAGTAGCGACGAAGGAAAGGGCTGACGCCATGTGCTTAGTAGCTACTAATTCAGGTGTAATTGTACCTTCCGATTTAGGGTGAAAAAGTATTGGCTTCATCGGGACGGGGTGAAATAGCAACAAACCTTTCCGGTTTTTTTTTTTCAACTCAGCTACCCAATCCCGCAATTTAAAACTTGCATTCGTACCACCCTCATGACACCTGCTACTCGGCAAACAAAAAAGCAGAAGGAGGAGGCGAAACGACGCACGACACGAAGGATGTCGCATCAGACCGACCAAGAGGGTGGGGCCAGATCTAGGGCTACTAAAAAGGCCGCCGCGCAAACCAATCAAACGAAACGTGCGGCGGGGAAAAAGGCTGAGGTGGGAAAGCAGAAGCCCGGGAAGAAGGCGGAGGACAAGGGGAAGCAACCAACGGCACGCAAGCGTGTTTCGGCCGTCAGGAGCGATGCGGATGTTGCCACTGCTGCCCTCGAGCCCGGTCCTTCTGACGACGGCACCATCGGCGGGAACGAAGACCCTGGGCGTGGCGGCGTGAGTGTTGCCGTCCGGTCGGGGGACAGAGAGGGCTTTGCGAGTGGAGGAAAGCACGGCGACTCTCCCCGCCAAGATCAGGCCGCAACTTTGACGTCCGTGGCAGAGGCAAAGCAGCAGCATCTGACGCTGCCCCACCCGCCCGTGGTTGAAATATCTGCTGCAGTGATAGATAAGGAGAAGGATGCTGCGCACGATTGCACGGAGGGGCCGAAACACGACATTGCCGACGTAGGTGGATCTCCTCCCTCTGGGGGACGCGGGAGGCGTAGGCAGAGGAAGAGCGATGGTGAGGAGGAGAATGACACCCCCGTGGCTGAGGACATGCCCATACGCGCGAAGAGGAGGCAGACGACAGCCAGCGGTGACGACGCCGGTGGTGCTGAAGTTGGGACAATGCGAGGCACCACGGCGCCAAGTGGCTTGGCAACAGATCATGCAATGCGACATAAGATGGGATCCGGTCCGAGGAAACCATCTAGCGGACGGAGGGGGAAGCAATCTTCGGGGGGGAATAGGCCGAAGCGCGGCAAAGAAGGCCCTGGTGAAGCGGATGTTGAGGACGAGGGGGATGGGGAGGAGGAGGCCGAGGAGGATGCGGAGGAGGACGAGGATGCAGAGGAGGGAGAAAAGGACGAGGATGAGTAGGAGGGCGACGATGATGAGGAGGAGGAGAAGGAGGAGGAGGATGAGGATGAGGACGATGAGGAGGACGATGAGGGGGACGACGAGGATGAGGAGCAGGAGGAGGAGGAGGAGGAGGAGGAGGAGGAGGAGGAGGAGGAGGAGGAGGAGGAGGAGCAAGAGGAGGAGGAGGAAGGGGCGGAGGAGGAAGAGGAGGAGGAGGATGATGAGGAGGAGGATGAGGAGGAGGAGGACGACGAGGAGGAAGAGGAGGTGGAGGAAGGGGCGGATGAGGAGGAGGAGGAGGAGGAGCCGGCAGGGAAAGGACGGGGCGCGCGAGGCGGACGGGGGAGTGGCACAGGGAAGGTGGGGGGCTGGTCTGGACAATCCCGGAAACGCGGGGCGGGTGACGCAATGCGTGCCGGACCAGCGGGCAAATCGAAGGCGCGTAAGGTGAAGGTTGAACTTGACCGGGGTGGAAGGAAGCAAGTGAGACAGGGAGCTAAAGGCGATGGAGACGGAAAGGGACCGCGCGCGAAAGGGGTACCTGTGGGTTCGGCAAAGAAAGAACCTGCCCGTAAACGAGGCAGCACCCGCCAAAGCACATCGCGGAAACGGGGCAACGATAAGGAGCAGGCAGCAAAACCGAAGGGACAGCAACGTGGTAAGCAACGTGTCACAAACGACTGGCATAGCTGCTGCGGTTTGTGCTGAACAGACCCTAACAACACCGTGTTCCACCCGTCTTTTCCCGCCGCAGGGAAGGAGAAGGTTGACGAATCGGCTAACCCGGGTAAGGCGTGACTATACACTACAGTTCCGTGCTACACCCATGTTAGAATCATTCGGTTGCTCGTTATGTTTGCACGTGTCCAAATGCACCTTACCGACACCAGCTCCGTGCTCATCCTCCGTGTGACTCTCAGCCCCCCCTGTTACAGGCATTGGGCCACCGGTAACCGTGCAACGGATGCAGCTAGCGAAAGGGGCCGGAAGAGCGAGTGTGGCACCGCTATCCACAGGAGGACCAAGGTTCTTCACGCCATACTCCGGCCCGAGCAAAGTCGCTGCGACTGCACCCGGCGCGGCAACAGGCGAGGAATCCAAATCCCCTCCACCAGCCCCCGTCACGCACTCCCCACTCGCCTCTCCCTCATACCCATTTCGGCCACTACACGCTTCTCCAGCTCGGGGCAGGGCGGTCTCCCCCCTCGCCGGTCCATCGCGTGTGCATCAACCAAGCACCTTTGCCAATCCCTTCCCTGAGCTTCCCTTTTCCCGCCAGCGTGATAGTGTGAGGGCACACGGTGCTACTGCAGAAGACGTTGATCCCCTTGGCCAGAGAGGGGTTTCTACACACCCTTTTCCGGATGTCATGGATGCGCTGGCTGAAGGTGCAGAGCACGGGCAGTTTGTTACACGAGACGAGTTCCAGCAGCTATGGTCTGAGATGTACGCCATGTTTGCTCAGCTCGGCCTGCGTCGGGGAGCAACTGCCAGCTATGCCGGGGGGGCCGCAGTGGTGCCGATGGGTGGTACCCCGCCGCCGATGAGTGCCGTGGACAAGGCACGTGTGCTTGTGCTGCAGGAGACCAACCCATTCCCGGTATGTGGCGGGTTGGGATTGACGTGGCAACCAGGGCAGGGTTGGGAATGACCTGGCGGTTGGAAAGGGTGCGCGGGAGCGGTGCAGGGCAACACGTGACTCCACACGTGGGCGGGGGCTGACGTGGCTCTTTTGGATCTCTGTGTGCGACGTGGCAAGTGGGTTGGGTTGGTGGGTTTAGACGGCGGACGCAAGAGGGTGTGACGTGGCGGGATGTGTGGCTTGGTGCTGACGTGGCACCTTGGAAGGGCACACGGGAGCGGCGCTCAACGAGGCGCCGCGTGTCTGGTGGGTGGGGTGTGACGTGGCATGGGGTGGGCGGGTGTGACGTGGCACGTGGGGCTGGCTGCTACCTGACGTGGCGGATGCGGGAGGGTGTGCCGTGGCGGGATGTGTGGCTTGGTGCTGACGTGGCGGCTTGGAAGGGTACACGGGAGCGGCGCGTGACGATGCTACACGTGTGCGGTGGGTGGCTTGGTGACGTGGCATGGGGTGGGCGGGTATGACGTGGCACGTGGAGCTGGCTGATCCCTGACGTGGCGGACGCAAGGGCGTGTGACGTGGCGGGATGTGTGGCTTGGTGCTGACGTGGCGGCTTGGAAGGGCGCAAGGGAGCGGCGCTCAACGAGGCGACGCGTGTCAGGTGGGTGGGGGGTGACGTGGCATGGGGTGGGCGGGTGTGACGTGTCACGTGGGGCTGGCTGCTCCCTGACGTGGCGGATGTAGGAGGGTGTGCAGTGGCGGGATGTGTGGCTTGGTGCTGACGTGGCGGCTTGGAAGGGTACACGGGAGCGGCGCGTGACGACGCTACACGTGTGCGGTGGGTGGCTTGGTGACGTGGCATGGGGTGGGCGGGTATGACGTGGCACGTGGGGATGGCTGATCCCTGACGTGGCGGACGCAAGGGCGTGTGACGTGGCGGGATGTGTGGCTTGGTGCTGACGTGGCGGCTTGGAAGGGCACAAGGGAGCGGCGCTCAACGAGGCGACGCGTGTCAGGTGAGTGGGGGGTGACGTGGCATGGGGTGGGCGGGTGTGACGTGTCACGTGGGGCTGGCTGCTCCCTGACGTGGCGGATGCAGGAGGGTGTGCCGTGGCGGGATGTGTGGCTTGGTGCTGACGTGGCGGCTTGGTAGGGTACACGGGAGCGGCGCGTGACGACGCTACACGTGTCAGGTGGGTGGGGGGTGACGTGGCATGGGGAGGGTGGGTGTGACGTGTCACGTGGGGCTGGCTGATCCTTGACGTGGCAGACGCAAGGGCATGTGACGTGGCGGGATGTGTGGCTTGGTGCTGACGTGGCGGCTTGGAAGGGTACACGGGAGCGGCGCGTGACGACGCTACACGTGTCAGGTGGGTGGGGGTGACGTGGCATGGGGAGGGTGGGTGTGACGTGTCACGTGGGGAGGGTCGTTTGTGGATTTGGCGGATGCAGGAGGTGTGAAAATAAGCGAACAGGAATGGATGAACTAGCAGTGAAAATGAGTACAAGTAGGAAACCCTAGAATTGTGTACCCCCTATAGGCTAACCCACTGTAGCCTACACAAGCATAACATATATAATGTTTGACACACCCCCATAGGCAAAGTGGGGGAGAACAAGGGGTCACAAGACCAGTCAAGCAAAGCAAAGCAAGCTCAGGGTGGATCACAAAGTCACCACACAGTCCGAGCACAAGAGCAGGGCCAGAGGCCAGTTCACATGCAGGAGTACAGACATATATATAAAACTAGACAAGCAAGAGCAGGTATATATATATGTCACAGTACAAGTGAAGTCAAGAGGAGAGCAAGTGAGGCAAGACAGGCACAAGACCCAGCTGGGTGCAAAAGCGCTGATGGTCACAAGGCGCGAGTGCCTTGGTGAACACATCAGCAGTGTTGGCCTCAGAGGCCACGTACGCAAGTCGCAACTGACCACGCTGCTGCAGCTCACGAGCAAGGAAGTAGCGGAGAGCAATGTGCTTCGTTCTGTGCTCCAAGCGCTGCTCTCGACACAAGGCCAGCATGGCCTTGTTGTCTACGTACAGCACTGGAGGAGAACGAGGCGGCTCTCCAAGGTCAGTCAGCAGGTAGGTGAGCCAGCGAAGCTCCTGTGCAGCCATGGCCCCGGCGTAGATCTCAGCCTCACAACTGGAGCCGAGAACCGAAGACGAGCGAGTAGACCGCCACGAGACAGAGCCGGAACCAAGGCTGAAGGTGTAACCCTGTGACGACCGCTGCGTAGCCTGGTCGTCAGCCCAAGAAGCGTCCGCGTGGCCGGTAAGGACCACTGGACTCCGCCCTCCAAGCACTAGCCCCATGCCCGACGTACTGCACAGGTAGCGCAATACCCTCTTCGCTGCAGCCATGTGCTCTGGTCTGTGTCTCCCAGGAGCAACATAGCGTGCAAGAATGCTCAGAGGGTATGCAAGGTCAGGTCGTGTGCAGGTCATCAGGTACATGAGGCAGCCAACAAGCTCTGCATACGGACCACTCGACTCTACGGACTCATCCGAAGGCAGAGCTGAGAGTGAGTGGCGAGTAGGCAGAGGAGTGGCCTGAGGCGAGGAGTACGTGAAGCCAAAGCGCTGAAGGACCTGCTGAACCATGTGTGACTGAGTCAAGGTAATGGTGCGGCGTGCTCTGTCCCGAGTGATCTGCAAGCCAAGGTAGCTGCGCAGTTCACCCAGGTCTGTGCACGTGTGTCTCTTCAGCAGTTCGGACTTCACGTAGGCGAGTCCAGCAATGTCCGCTGTGGCAAAGACCAAGTCGTCGACGTACACGAGGATGTAGAACGGCGGCAGTGAAGTGTCGGTGCGCAGAAACAGCGACGGGTCAGCAGTAGAAGGAGCAAACCCAAGAGCCGCAAGCGTAGTCCTCAGTGTGTCGTGCCACTCACGCGGTGCCTGGCGGAGACTGTAGACTGGCCGTCGGAGGCTCCACTGGGTGCCAGGAGGGAAAGTCCCAGTGAAGCCAGGTGGTCGGCGCAGCCAGATCTCCTCGTGCAGACTACCCTGCAGGAACGCAGTGCTGAAGTCGAGAGAGTGAAGCTCGTAGTCGCGCTGAGCGGCTATGTGCAGCAGCACCCGAAGAGTGGTCATCTTCGGGGTGGGAGAGAAGGTCTGAAAGTAGTCAACTCCCTGCCGCTGACTGAAGCCACGAGCAACGTACCGCGCCTTGAAGACAGGTGGAGAGCCCGGCGGCCGCTTCACCCGGAAGATCCACATGCCACTGACGATGTTCGCCCCAGGAGGGGGAACTGCGTCAACGTAGGTGCCTGTGGACTTCCAGGAAGCCATCTCTGCATCCATAGCTGCCTGCCACTGAGAGGAGTAGGGACCCTCTACGGCCTCCGCGTAAGAACGCGGAGTCGGGATGTCTAGTGCATCCGGGTCTCCCTCAGGGGCAAGCAGTACAGACGCGAGATGAGGTGAAGCAGCCGCTAGACACTGTAACTCCTCCTGTCTGTCCTCTAGGACGTCCGTGCCAAGAGCACACTCACCCCCGACGGACGGAGGACAGACAGACGCAGACTCAGCAACAAGACCAGCAGCGTAGTCGAGACGACAGCGAGCAGCAAAGTCAACGAGCTCAGCGACTAGAGCAGACGCAGCAGTGGACTCAAAAGAGGGGTCAGTGACGACAGTAGCAAGCAGACGCGTGACAGTAGGACTGGCAGCGGGAAGAGAATCCGACTCAGGGTCGGCAAGCGCAGGAAGAGAGGACTCAGGAGGCGAAGGCAAAGGGGCACGCAGAGGAGCAGTGGACGGACGCAGAGACATCCGGTGCGTGCCAGGGACAGGAGGAGGACGCTGACGCGAACCGCGACCACTAGCGCGAGCAGCACGAACAGGCGACGCGGGACGAGACGCAGGCTCACGACGCTCAGCAAGACCTCCAGTAGGACCAGTGTAAGGAGAGGGAGCAGGCAGAGGAGAGGAAGGCTCCAACAGTGTCTGCGACTGGACAGGCTGTGGACACTCTACCGAAGGAGAAAGACCAAGAACCTGCTGTAGGAGCGGAACGAAGTACGGCCGAGGCCGCGCGGCAGCTCCAGACTCAGCAGGGACAGCACCAGCACCCTCAGCGACAGCACCAGCGCCACCCACACCTCCAGCGGCAGGACCAACAGCAGTAGGCTCAGCACCAACGCCCTCAGTACCTCCAGCTCCAGGAGGACCCGCAGGTCCAGCAGCTCTGGGACCGGCAGCACCCGCACCCTCGACGGTCGAAGAAGCTCCAGCTCCAGCTTCAGCAGCACCTCCAGACTCAGCAGCACGCCTCCAGCGGCGAGCGTACCACTCGCGCAGCTCCTGTGGAGAGAGGGGCTCCCGGCGAGACGCAGCAGCAGGAGAAACCCCAGGCTGAGCAGCTCCAGACGCAGCAGGGACAGCACCTAGAGACCCTTCACTCTGAGCGTACCACTCACGAAGCTGGCGAGGCGTGAGAGACACGCGAGAGGGTCGCGGGAGCTGCATCTGGCCGCCACCACGAGTAGAAGCAGCAGGAGTGGTAGTAGGAGTAGCGTCGCCACCCCTACAGCCCCAACCAGCGTACCACTCACGCAGCTGCTGCGGCGTGAGGGACTCACGCCGGCGTCGCTGGGGCTGCATTTGGCTCCGCAAGTAGAAGCAGGAGCAGGACTAGCAGCAGGGAGGCAGGCAGCCAGGCAAGCCAAAAGGCAGGCAGGCAGGCAAGCAGGCGACGCGCAGCGTGCTAGCAGGGCAAGAGCTCACCAGTGGTGGGAAGAGTAGGTTCGGCGACTCAGCGGCTCGGCAGCTCGGCGGCTCGGGCGACTCGGGCGGCTCGGCGGCAAGGCGGCTCAGCAGCAACTGCAGCTCAGTAGCTCGGTGACTCGGCGGCTCGGCGGCAGGGCGGCTCGGCAGCAACTGCAGCTCAGCAGCTCAGCGACCCGGCGGCTCGGCGGCAGGGCGGCTCGGCTGTGGGGCGGCTCGGCTGCTGCAGGGGAGATGAAGGAGGAGGAGAAGCAGGGGAGGCCACACACCTGCCACCCCTCTGCTGGCCTCTCCCGTCGCCTGTCGAGGCGACCTGAGGGGACCGCTTGCGGCC